TCTCTCTCTCTCTCTCTCTCTCTCTCTCTCTCTCTCTCTCTTTTTGAACCAGCAACACAGATTCAGAAGAGCAAAATAAGAAAAAGAAGAATGACACTGACATTTTTTTTTTGTTTTGATTTTGACTATAAAAACTGAAAATTAAAGATACGCAAATCTGATTTAGGGATCTGATGCTTTGATACCAAGATGATGAGAACCCCAAAGAGAACAATGAGACCCACAGCACGACAAGGGATTTCTAAACTCCAGGAAAACCAAATCAGGTTTATAATAGGACCTTGACCCGTTGTTTATGTCGCAACAATTTATGTCGCAACAAGAACCAAAGGTAAAAACCTTGACCCGTTGTCTATGACGCAACAAGAACCAAAGGTATAAAGTTGGTTGATGCCACACCCTCGAATGATTAAGAATGAGAATGATAAGTCAGGTTAGAACACCTGATGAGAACCCCAAAGAGAACAATGAGACCCACAGCACGACAAGAGATTTCTGAACTCCAAGAAAGCTAAATCAGGTTTATAATAGGACCTTGGCCTGTTGTTTATGTCGCAACAAGAACCAAAGGTAAAAACCTTGGCCCATTGTCTATGACGCAACAAGAACCAGAGGTATAAATTTGGTTGCGCCACACCCTCGAACAATTAAGAATGAGAATGATAAATCAGGTTACAACGCCACAAGATCTTGATAAGTTCTGTAAAGTTTTGAAACAAACCAAAGAGAAAAGTCTCTCAAAACTCAGATTCAATCGCCTCCCCCAATTAGGGTTACAAGCCCCTTAAACAAGGAAAAGTAATTCTAATCAGAATAGGAAACTGACACCCTAAGCCCTAATCATAATAACCACGAATTGGGCCTTAAATAAATGAATGTTCAGCCCAAAATAATATAAAAAAACGTGAAAATCACTAAAAGTAACCTAAAGTAACATGAAATATCAGTTTGTTACAAATTGCGACAGAATTGCGAGATTGATGCAAACTGTGTAATTTAGAATAAATGACCTCAATTAAGCTTCTCTTGAACCTGAATGATGTTTATCATGCCTTGATAATCATCCAAGCTTCGATTTACTTCTTGCATGTTGTTATCAACCCAGATCTGCTCAATAAGGCCATTTAAAG